CTGAGGAATCCTCCCCCCCCCCACCCCCCCCACCTAGCAGCTAGAAAAGCAGAAGCTTAGAAAAGGTGGGAATGTGGACTTGAACCCAGGCCTGTCTGATTCCAGAGCCACAGCCTTGAGTAGGCAAGGAGGCTATGATTATCTAAGACGTGCCCAGGGTAGCAATACCTTATGCAAACTCTTTGCCCATTTTCTACCCCTTGTAGGAAACGTGGTGTTTGGAGAGCCCATCACTGCCAGCCTTGGCACAGATGGAACCCATTACTGGAGCAAGAACTGGGCCAAGGCAGCTGCATTTGTGACATCCCCACCTCTGAGTCCTGACCCGACCACTCCTGACTACATCAACTCCTTGCTGGCCAGGTTGGTGCGGAATGACAAGCAGCTGGAATTGTGTAGAAACGTCCTGGGGCTGGTGGGATGAGGACGAGGGCAGCCCATCCATCAGCTGGACTTGGGTCTGCAGTGAGGAACGACGTTGAGAATTCCCCTGCAATCTGGAGGGCAGACAACAGGCTCTTCCCTGTTGTGTTTTTAAAAATACTACAGTAATTACATTTATAATGGTAACAGCAGTTAATGGGTGTTGTGTGCCAGGCACTAGGGTGAGACCACACACATGATCTCATTGTCCCTTAGAACTTGATGAGTGAGGGACTTTCATAACCATTTTACAGATGAAGCAGCTGAGGGTCAGAGGGACTAAATTATTTGCCAAAATTTGAACAGCTGGTCATGATGACCACCTAAATTATAGGGGCCTTGCTGGCTGCTTCTCTCTGCAGATCAGTCCCATCACTCATTTGGGTCCCCTCTGTTTTGTTACACAAGGGATGGTCGAATCCCACCCCCTCGTTTTCCAGATGGGGTAACCAAGTCCCAGAGCGGGGAAGACATTCACGCAAGTTCACATAGTTGGCAAGAGGTAGAGGGAGGATTCCAAACTCGGGTCATGGCACTCCAAACGCTGATACTAGACACTAGAGTCTGGGCCCCTGAGGTGCCTCTGGCCACCTGTCCGTTCACATGGAGCTTTTCTCCTTTGCCAGTGGGGACCTGCAGCTCTCAGGCAGTGCCCACTGCACCTTCAGCACCGCCCAGAAAGCGATTGGGAAGGACAACTTCACGGCCATTCCTGAAGGCACCAATGGGGTGGAGGAGCGGATGTCTGTCATCTGGGACAAGGCGGTGGTAAGGATCAGGTCATGGGAGGGTAGCCAGGCTGTGCATCGGTGTCTTCTGGCAAAAGGGCCTGGTTTTATTTTCCTTGTTAACGTTATCTACGCTGCCAGAAGAATAGCCATGCAAATGAAAGTGCTCTTAAAGTTTTCAGCAAAATTAGTGGTTAATATTTTAAATTGGTCATGTCCCTCTGTTCTACTTTAAAAACTCTAGAGACACTCATTTCAGAGCCCAATAGGATGTGTATGATCTAATGCCTCATTTATCTATACAGCGTAATCCGCCAAGTTTCCCTTTTCTTTTTGGCTACCAGGAAACTAGATTTTAAGCTAAACTCTTTTTTTTTTCTTACCTGGGCCTTTTGTTTTGACAAGAGAGAAAGGATAAATATTTTTGTCTCTTCTCTTATATACTTAGATTTTATTTTTTTATACTGTTATGTATTTGTGAGTGTATGTATTTATCTTGGCACTATCTAGAATTGTTTAAAAATTTATATATATATGCAACATAGTGCATTCTCGATAAAGAACACTTGGAAACCACTGAAAAAAACACATTCACGAAAGAAAGCAAAAATTACTCACCAATTCCACTCCCCAGGGATAACTCACTGTTATCATTTGGGTGAGGTTCTTCCATAGTTACCCTATGTGTGTGCAAATACAAACACGTATTTAAAAAATGGGCTCATCATCACTTTGTTTTTAGTGTGAACTCTCTATAACCCCTGTTGGAATTAGAAGGGGTAAAAGTAAGTAAATGTATGCACATAACCAGAGAAAAAGAAAAGCCTACTTCAGGAGCAGTAACTTCCCTCTTAAGCCTTGTGTTTAATCGTTTTGCCTGGGCGACCATGACAGCCCAGCCGGTTCTGAAAGCCTGCTGGGTGTGGTTCTGTGCTCACAACCTCAAAGGCTCCTGTTTGTATTTTGGAGCCTTTGTGGTCACCCTGCTCTGAGCTTAGAAGCCCTGCATGGACAATAAAAAAAAAATTATATTTCCATAGGCCACAGGGAAAATGGATGAAAACCAGTTTGTGGCTGTGACGAGCACAAATGCTGCAAAGATCTTCAACCTGTACCCCCGCAAGGGAAGAATATCTGTGGGTTCCGACAGCGACCTGGTGATCTGGGATCCAGATGCTGTAAAGATCGTCTCTGCCAAGAACCACCAGTCGGTGAGGCTGGAGCCGGCAGGCGGGGACCGGGGCGGGGAACGTGTTTAGGGAACTTGGTCAGGAGAGAGGTGCGTATGTGGTGTGCCAGGGTAGTTAGCCTAGGATGTGTTCCAATAACAAACCGTCCCAAATGCTCAGTGACTTCCAACCTCCACACTTTAGTTCTCACTCCCTCCTTCCAAAGTGAGTCAGCAGAAGGGCTCTGCCTACTATAGACACTGCTGGACGGAGGCCGATAGAGATGTCATCTCTACATGCGTCCCGAAAGCTTTCCCAACATGTCACTTCCTGTCATGCTGCATTGGCCACAGCCCTCCAGGAGGGCAGGAAATGCAGTGGTGCCTTGTGCCTAGAAGGAAAAACAATGGGTGACCAGCACTGATGACGTCATCGGGAGGAGTTTCAGGTGGAAGATAATTCCCAGTACCTCAAGGACAGGGGCTTAATACTTGTTAATAAAATAAAAATAGCTCATATTTTTTTAAAAAAATATATTTCTTTATTGATTTCAGAGAGGAAGGAAGAGGGAGAGAGAGATAGAAACATCAATGATGAGAGAGAATCATTGATTGGCTGCCTCCTGCACGCCCCCCACTGGGGATCAAGCCTGCAACCCAGGCATGCACCCTTGGCCAGAATCGAACCTGGGACCCTTCAGTCTGCAGGCCGACGCTCTATCCACTGAGCAAAACAGGCTAGGGCAATAGCTCATATTTTTTAAGCACCTATGTTTCAGGCACTGTGCTTGTCATCCATTCAATCTCCCCAGCAGTCTTCCAGGGGCAGGCACTATCATTATCCTCATTTTGTATATAAGGAATTGGAGGTGCAGAGGGATTAAATAGTTTAGGCCACAAGGAAATGAAGCTAGGATTCAAACCCAGACAACCTGACTCTGAACCGATGCCCATAACCATTTGCAGTGACGCCTTGCACTGGTTGAATAAATGAAGGAGGTAGGGAGAAATCCCGTTTGTTGGTGGGAATGGCCTTTGCTCAGACATTGTGTCACATCACATTATTTCATTTCAAGCTAGCAGGGGCCAAAGGGTCATGTGACCCACCTACCCACCCACCACTTCAAGGCCGCCAACTACAGCATCCCTGATACTTATCCGGCTTCTCCTTGGGCACTGACAGTGACAAAATTTACTTCTACCATCGGGACCTTAATAAGGACTGGGTGCTTCTCTTTGCTAGGAATTCCAGCCTGTACTTGGGGAGCTTCTATCTCCAGGGCCTCTACCCACTGAGCCCTTGTAGATGCATTGTAGGCTTTTCCTGGCTTACATGGCCCGTCAGTTCTAGCCACGCTGAAGGCAGGATCGCAAGCACATGAGAACCACATTGTCTTTCTCCCCTTCCCACGCCCATACCCATGGCTGTGTCCCCCGCCCTGTCCCTAGGCTGCGGAGTATAACATCTTTGAAGGCATGGAGCTGCGCGGGGCTCCCCTGGTGGTCATCTGCCAGGGCAAGATCATGCTGGAGGATGGCAGCCTGCACGTGACCCAGGGAGCCGGCCGCTTCACCCCCTGCAGCCCCTTCTCCGACTATGTGTACAAGCGCATTAAAGCCCGGAGGAAGGTGAGGAGGCCGGGAACCCGGGGTGGGGTGGGGTGGGGTGGGAGGGGCAGTGTCCTGTTCAGGCACAGGGACAGTAACCCTGGATCAGGAGGGAGCGCTGTGCTCCAGACCCCACCAAAGAGATGCACAGCGCTCGTCTCTTCCCGGGACACGCACTCCGATTTAGTGCACACAGAAAGGGTCTTCAAATGTTTTGGTCAAAAAGAGGTTTTTTCAAATGATTTCCCCCCATTTTATAGTGCTTTTCTTTAAAATAATTTAAAATTGTAATAATTCAAAATAATATATATAATTTAACTCTTTAAGGCTTATGAGAACCAGGAGTCCACACCCTCCCGGTCCCATTCTGTCCAGGCAGGGCTGGCCCACGGGGACACATGTTTATAATTCTTCTAGCTGGTTCTGTGCATCAAATAAAATCTTATATTTCTGATTTAATAGTAGCTAGATGGACAGACAGACATATACACACACGTATATCTATCCATCTACCTACCTACCTACCTACACATTGCAAGCAGAGCATCCCTGGTGGATCTAGGGGTGAGGCTGAGAACTCTGTCTTTTCAGATCCCCATCCTACCCCCTACAGTCTCAGGTCACTTTTAGGTAAGTGAGGGCTCCACACATCAGGGCTAGACTAGCCCTGGGAGCCTGGAGTTTGAACTACCCTTCCCACCTGCTCTGCTCTGGCCGTACAGGTGGTTCTTTCATTTCATGTTTCCTCTGCTGGGAACACTGCCCTCCACAACACACCTCTGTACCCTCAGCCTCCTACATTACAAGCAGAGCATCCCTGGTGGATTTAGGGGTGAGGCTGAGAACTCCGTCTTTTCAGATCCCCATCCTACCCCCTACAGTCTCAGGTCACTTTTAGGTAAGTGAGGGCTCCACACAGCAGGGCTAGACTAGCCCTGGGAGCCTGGAGTTTGAACTACCCTTCCCACCTGCTCTGCTCTGGCCGTACAGGTGGTTCTTTCATTTCATGTTTCCTCTGCTGGGAACACTGCCCTCCACAACACACCTCTGTACCCTCAGCCTCCTCCCTCTTAAGATCAAAGGCCACCCTTAGAGAACCCTTCACCTACCTCCATCAGCATTCTGTCATACACCCTCCCCTTATTTTATACTCCTCCTCTCCTTCAAATTTTTTTTCCTGGTTCTCACTGCACACACTTAATGCACTGATATATTTGTGCTACCTAGAACCGACCCTTAGCTTTTAAAGGAATAGAAGGTGATGTGCTTTCTCTGCCGCAGATGGCAGACCTGCATGCTGTCCCGAGGGGCATGTATGACGGCCCGGTGTTTGACCTGACCACCACGCCCAAGGGGGGCACCCCCGCAGGCTCCACCCGGGGCTCCCCCACTCGGCCGACCCCACCCGTGAGGAACCTCCATCAGTCGGGATTTAGCCTGTCAGGTGAGTTGGAAAAGCTGATGGTGACACTTAATGAGAAAGGGAGGAGAGAAGGGGGAAGGGGACTCAGTGCTCCAAGCTAACGGTGGTCCTTGGAGCGAACCCAGACCGCCTTTTAGGGGACAGGTTACTGGGCAAGAAGGATGGTTTGTGCTGAATCAATAAATAAGTCCTGCTGAGAAAGCAAGATGAGGCTCAGTCAGGCTCAAGGTCAGGCTTAAATGACACCAGTTCTGCTCAGAGCTCCCATCTGGTGGGGGAGGGTGGGGGGTGAATTTATAGTGATTTTCTGCTTTAGACTGTGAGAGCGGTGCAATGTGCCCAGGTGAAAAGAGAGCTCAGATTATTTTTATGCTCGAATTGCAATAGCTTCTTCCAGCCCAGGATTTTTATTCTGCCCTCCCTCTTACTAGTAATCAAGCTAACAGCAGCCGCTGCTGATTGGACATTTACCGTGGGGCAGCCATATCACGAATCTTACCTATTCTTTAAGAACTGCCTGATATAAATACAAAATAATGATTCAGTTCCTCCACAACCAGTAGTCTTAAATTGCGAAAAAATAAATGTAGGTTAGGGTCTCTATGATGAACAATTTAAATGTGAGGGAAGCAGGACAGAGATGTGTAAAGAGAAAACTGGCAGCAGGAAGGGGGTAAGGAGGGGAGCAGCAGGATATGGGGAGGAAAGAGATGAGGGGGACCTAGGTCAGGGAGGAAGACAAAAGAAAAGGGCTAAAAGGTCTCAGGTGACATGGCCAGAGGTCACAGCATGCTCTCTGCTGAAGTCTTTGCCAGTGTTCTGCCCTTTTCTGTTGCTACCTGGCTCCCCTCAGCCCTAAGCTTCTCCGGCTCCTTCTGAATGGACAGAGGGACTCACTGGTGTTTCCTGGTGTGCTGTGGCTGCAGGGGCCTGGCTGTCACCACTGCCAATTGTGACCCTAGCCCGTGGTCAGCAAACCGCGGCTCGCGAGCCACATGCGGCTCTTTGGCCCCTTCAGTGTGGCTCTTCCACAAAATACCACGTGGGGCGCGCACGTACAGTGGGATTGAAACTTCGTGGCCCATGCGCAGAAGTCGGTATTTTGTGGAAGAGCCAGTATTTTGTGGAAGAGCCACACTCAAGGGGGCAAAGAGCCGAATGTGGCTCTTGAGCCACGGTTTGCCGAGCCGCAGTTTGCCGACCACTGCCCTAGCCCCTCACAGCCTCAGTCACCTCCTCTTTCAATGGGATAATAACAGTCCATTTCTGGAAAGATAGTGGGGAGAGTTGAGTAAGACAAACTGAGAAACATTTAAACCGTTGCTTGAAACGTGAATGGAGCAGCTATTTCTCATAACACTCCCATCGTTGCTTTTATTATCATTGTTATGATGTGGAGGGTCGGATGAAGTCCAGATATAAACCTGGCTTTCCCTGGCAGAGGGTGAGTTTCAGGAGGGTGGGTATGAAAAGTCTGGAAGACCTCCCAAACGAGAATGGGCGAGGAGGCCAGAAGGCACGTAATAGCCCAGTGGTTCTCAACCTTCCTAATGCCGCGACCCTTTAATACAGTTCCTCATGTTGTGGTGACCCCCAATTTCATTGGTACAAATTGAACATAATTAAAGCATAGTGATTAATCACAAAAACAATACGTAATTATATATGTGTTGTCCAATGGTCTTAGGCGACCCTTGTGAAAGGGTCATTCAACCCCCAAAGGGGTCGCGACCCACAGGTTGAGAACCGCTGGCTTAGACTCTTAAAATTAATCCAGTTTCTCTCTTGTCCACACCCCACCCCCTCCCGATTTTTCTCCCTGGGAATGCAGGCACCCAAGTGGATGAAGGGGTCCGCTCAGCCAGCAAGCGCATCGTGGCGCCCCCTGGAGGCCGTTCTAACATCACATCCCTGAGTTAAGCCACCCCTCCCCAGAGAGAGGGGCAGAAGCAAGAAGAGATTGATTTGAAGCCAACATGGTACACCGATATTTAAGGAGGAGAGCGAATCCAAACAGTTACGACCTAAAGAATCAATAAGCCTCAAGCCTTATGTTTCTCCAATGTTACGCTCGCTTGCCTAGCTTTACAAATATTGCTTTGTTTATGCCTAGCCTTGATTTGGTTGACCCCCCTCCCCCATTTACATGCATGCAATCAGACAGGCCACTAAGGTAAGGAGTCTGCTATCTAGTGTTGAGAGCGTGTGTAGTGCTGCATCTTAAGACAAGGGGACAGACAAAGCTGGATGTCAGGAGACTGAACAGAAGGGACACAGTTATTTGGGGTGAGTGGGTGGTGGGAGCCTGAGCAAGGCTGGAGCTCAGAGGGCTGGGGTGGGGTGAGCACGGGGAGGGGGGTGGGTGGGTGAATATAAGGGGTCTTGTGTATTGTGTTAATGAAGTACATTTATTTCCTTGGAAGATGGCCCCTGGGGGTCCGGGGGCAGCAGAGAAGGCAGGCGGGGTCTTCAGGTTCCGGACTTTGTCACGTCCTCTCTTAGTAGATTTCATGTCTTTGAGCATTTTATTAAAACACCAAAACCCAGCCATGGCTTCCTCTTGGTCGTGCCAGTGCTTGGCCAGGCCTCTTTCTCAGAGCTGCTTTCAAATGCTTCTCTTTTCCTGGCTGGGAAGGAGGAGAGGAGGGAGGAGGGTCACTTCTCTGGTCTTGGTGCTATTAAGAGGCAACACCTGGGAGTGCGCACAGGCCCTCGGGGTGGGGCGGCCTCGCTTACATAGCACCTCCCTGTAAACAGGAGGTGGAGGTCACCTTCTCCTGGTCTTTTCAAACTGAGGAGGGCAGCCTGCCCCTGGCATCTTGTGTGAAGAGCTGCTCCTGCCAGTGGTGAGTGTTTGATCCTCTTGGTCTCCCGAGATCCCGGCACAGCCATGAGCGAATCGGATTTGTGCTGTTGCTGAAGGCTGATTTTCTTAGGGGTTCCTTAGCTTCCATCTGAGCTTGTGTGGGAGTCAGGCAGGGCTTTGGGAAAGCCAGCCTGGAGCAGCAAGAGCATGTCCTGTGACCGTGGTTCTGGTGCTCAGTCCTAGGCCATCTGTCTCCCCGGCCATCAGCACAGCCTTGGGGGGAGCTTTTGTTTGGTACCACGTCTCCCCAGGTGGGTGGCGGTGACAAGTGGCCCACAAGTACAGGAAGCTAGCAGGGAGCGCCGGCACCTTCCTTGTCTGCCGGAGCTGAACGTCCTTCCCCATCCAAACTCAACTTCAGAACAAGTTCTCTGAACTGGACGAGATTGTAGAACTAAGGGGCCCCTGTGCAGGAACAAATGTATTTCACCTGCGATCTGACTTCTGTGCTGGAATCCAGCTGGTAGAACTCGTAACCCTGTGTACTAGGTATTCTGAAGAGAGGCCGCAAACACCTCCCAGGTGTTTGGGAGGAACCTAACTGCAGGTTAGGCCAGAGGGAGAGCATACGTGGCTGGGGAGGCAGGTGAAAATAGCCAAGGAAGAGGATTCCCCCTAAGCTAATTTCTCGTCCAATTATGAAAAAGAGGACTTCCTCTTAAAAGAAGAGGAACCTTGCTACCTTTAAGGCTTTTTCATGGTGCCTTTATTTTAAGGAAACGTAAGTGAAGGGGAGGGTGCTGCTCGTGGTTTATAACTCAAAGATCTGGGAGCCTGTTTCAAACTGGGAGCGGTAGTTTTGCAGACCGGCAGCCCTCTTGTTATATCAGAAGCGTATTCTATATACCTCATTGGCTGGGCTGGGATTTAGGATATGTTGCAGTACCAGCCACAACCACCAGATGGAGGAAAAGACACGTTAATAACTAGTGGGAACATCCACTTCTGTACCATCGGCTGCTATTACCAGCCCCCGAGTCCAGCTCATCCTTGCTGACCTCTCTATGCCATGAAAACCAATATTTCATGGCCCAGTTGGCTGCACTTGGGACTTCTGAATGAAACATTCAACCAGGACTTACGTTCTCCACGAGCTTCCCCTGCTGGGGGAGCAGCCCCTTCATGCCTCGATGCCGGGCAACACGATCTGAGAAAAGCCCCCCTTTCTTCATGCCTGTTAGTAACTTCCCAAGCACAGAAATTCCTGGGAATTCCAAGAACACTCCCACTGTCGACTTTGATTTCTGGTTCCTTGTTACTTAAGTTAAATTCTATATTCCAATCTGTCCTGTTCCATAAGACACATCAAAGAGCCCCATACACACGGGTTTAGGAAGAGATCACCACAGTGAGTCAGGCCCTGTCAGAATTCACTGGCACCTCCAACTGTGGGAGGGCTTGCTGGGTCTTCTGTCTTCCTCCCAGGCTTTCTTTTGCTGTCTCCTGTCTTGGCCTGGGCCCTCTCTAAGGATACCCCGCCTGCTCCCCTCCCCCCAACCTCCCCACGTTGTCCCTAAACCCAGATGGCAATCAGCTAGGGTTCTGTGTGGAAGAGCCACGATCTTGGGTGCTTGAAAGGTATTTGAGGAACTGTTAATTCCGTCACCCCAGCAGAGATACTTCTAAGTTTTCTGAAATTGGCAGGGCTGTAGCCATCTCGAAAATGGGTTTTCTTCCAAGTCCCCTCATCCTTTGGCCTTTGTCTTTGTACCGACACCCAGAGAGTCACCGTCTGCTCTGAAGGCCTCCATCCTAAGCCTGGACTTTTCACTCACCCTGAGTAGCCCTTCCCAACAGGGTGACGCATTACACAAGCACCCCAGGCCTTCTCTCCCGGAAAAGTCCAGCTGGAGCCCCAGACATACACCGGCTGTCCCGGCAGCCAGCATCCGTGGTCGGTCCCCTCTTTGGAAAGTCGTGTGCGGGTGTTCAGTTCTGTGTCTGGTGACCGTGGACGGACAGTGACCTCCCTGTGACCTGTGGTAGCTGTGAGGCGGCTCTGGAATGTGAAGAGCTGTTTGGTTTGAACCGTGAAGAAAACTGTGTTTTGAGTTTAGCTGAGATTAAGAAGAAAAAAAAAAAAGTTCATCAAGTGACTGTTCATGTAAACCTGGTTATTAAAATAACTATAAAATCACAGATGTCATTCTGTCTTTTCTGTGTGTGACATGACATTGACCCAAATTGTTAAAATCAGTAAAACTGAAATGGTTGGTAAGGGGGGCAGATCTGATGAAAACAGAGTTGCCCAGAGAAAATGTGGGGAATTCCTATCTTTTCAGTTGAGGTTGAGCTTTTATATGGCTAAAGAGTTTGATGACTATTGTTAAAACTTGGGGGAATACAAATTTGGTATTAGTGTAAATGCCTTTTTTATTTCTTTGTTCTTTGTTGTGTCATTCCCTTAAAGCATTGCTTCTTCATAAAGGCCTGCAATTTGAGAAAACCCAAACTAAGCATGTTGCAAAGTATATTCTTTAGCAAGCTGGTCCCAAGGAATCTCATGAGTGTTAGGATTATTAACTATGTCCACTCCTTTGAGAGACTTATGTGTATGTCATCAAATTCAAAGCTCTTAGAAATCCTGTCTTTCAAAATCTGTCCAATTCAAGGCTCTCAAACTGTTTTTTTTTTAATCTATTTATCATCTTCTAAAAGTCCACCAAACCCTTTTGGGGAAACACTTCTGGACCTAATTACAATTTACATAGAACATTTTTCATTGTAAATGTTAGACTCGTGTATGCAAAGAATTTTTTTTTTTTTTGAAAAGTGTATAACTGAAAACATCATGGGTAGATTTGGGTAGACTTAAGCAAAGCTGGATCTAAAATGTTGTTTCTTTTCTTTTAAGAACATATGGGTTGCTTCACCAATTTGCATGTCATCCTGGCACGGGGGCCATGCTAATTGCTGTGTGGTTCTAATTTGAGTATATGTGCTGCCCAAGCGAGCACAGGAATTTTGTTTGTTTTTGTCTCTTCGTCCTTCTTGCCTTCTTAGGAAAGCAAGTGGGAGCGAACTTGGCCATCGGCATTTCTAGGTTTTCTTGTTACCTGCCTACTAATTTCAGGGGAAGGATAGAGATTCCCTGGATAGTTGGTCTGGCCAAAGAGACTGACTCTAATTGGTCTGGCTCAAGTCGTGTGTTTTCACCAGGAAACTAGTCACTGTGGCCGGGAGACTGGCCCTGATGGGTCACACCTGGTCACATGGCCAGTCCTGAGCCACCTGAACCACGTGGACTCTCACTAACTCAAGGAATATTAATGTGATATCAGAAGACAAGGGGATGGCTGCTGGGCAGGCAAAACCAGCAGATGGTCCCATCACTAGTCTAAAGCCTGAAGGGCATGGATGCTCTGCTCAGCAAAGTGTGTGTGACTAGAAT